CAGAGATACAGGCATCAAAATGGGAAACATGATAAGAAATGTTAGCTAATGTGTTTGCAACCATTTTTCCTTGTTTTCTCTGACAATAACTGCCTTAAGGTGGATGATATTAACTCCATTTAAACACTAGGTAAACTTCAGTTGTGACTTCTTCAAAACTCACAAACTGAGACTAGATCCTAGGTTCTGCTCTCACATCTTTTACTCTTTGATTTATACGTGCTATCCCAAGTCTTCCTGTATTTATTTTGAAATGCACAAAGTGTCCATTATATACCAGTGAAAGATACAAGGAAGATTTCCAGATATTTCAAATCAATTCTTCCAAATATCCCAATACGATAGGGGCATGGTTATATTAAGCCATGATTACCATGAGATGGGTTAGTGCTGTGTTAGAGGCATAAAGGGAGAAAGGGAAGAAATATTTGTCAAGCCAATGTAATATGCCTAGTGCCACACCAGACACTCTCACCTGTGATTCTATTATTTTCTCAAACTCTGAAAAACTACGTATTTTCATCTCCAGTATATAGATAAAGTGGGGCAAGGATGCTATGTATGCTGTTAAATGGCAAACGGCTGGTTAGCGGAGAAGCTGGGCTTCAAACTTAAGTTTTCCTGGCATCAGAGTTCATGTTCTTTCTATAAAACTACTGCAACAACCTGACTCTGTGATGTCTGTGCTTGGTTAAACTTGAAATATCAACATTTATTTTACTAGGCACTTTACATGTTTTAGCTAATTAAATGCTCCTAACAATCCTAAGAGTTAGGTACTGTTACTACATCTGGTGTACTGATAAGGAATCTGAGTGCTAACTTCCCAGACGAAAGTACCACAACTAGTCACTACCACGTTGGCATTCATATTCGTGCAATTTGGTTCCGATGCCCATGCTAGTAACCATTACATCATTATACATGGTTTAACCTGTAAGAATGAGCTTATTTGGTCAGAATATTTCCAAAAATGTCCCAGAGAAATGCTAAGGACAGATATGGACAGAGGGTGGAAACAGGAGATCAATTTGTTTTGCCTGCAAGCCTCATGAAAAATTGCACATTTCATGATTAGAAGATTGGGAGGGTTCAGATCACAAAGGCCATGCATCCCATGATAGGTGACTTTTCTGAGGAGTTTTAATCAGGGGAAGAGCATGCATTACTTTTGCATTTTCGAAAGTTATTTCTGGCATAGGCAAGAGAGGTAAAACTAGATCTTCTCAGTAGTTCATGGTAAGTTTACTGGGATACTGTTCTTACAGCAGCTCAGCTACCCTCTCCTCCTGCCTCTCCCTTTCTCAAAGCCTACACTTTGTGGAGCACATACTGGTAACAAGTCACTGCCATTCCATCTATTGGCTGAGGAAAGAGAAGATCATTCTTGTCTGAAATCTTCATCACTGTTTTGATGGCTGTTATACAGAAAGCTGACATCTCTATTGAGTTATCTGCTTTGACACCTCGCTCACTAGTTTTTAAGACATTTTAATTATCTCAAAGATTTCATTAGCATGCATGAACAGAATCATAGGCTCTTCAATGTCTAGAATGCTTACATCATTTATGTTATTCTTGACAATGTGAGTGACCTGTACTCAGGTCTGTGCTGAATATCACCTCTGCACAAATCGTTTAATGTCTTGGTTTTCTTAGTTCTCTTCATGGCTATTCTTCATGATTAATCCGAATAATTTGGTAATCTGAAAATGAGTCTACTTGGCTGCCGGCATCTTCTTTCTGATCATTAACCGATACATTGAAGAGTCACGTCTCTGTCTCCAAAGTTGGTGAGGGCATGTTTCTTTCCATCTCTTAGGTTTGCTCAGATCCATGACAGGACTTTTTATCTTGCATGAGTTTCCAAGTGCAGAATTGGAAAAAGACTTGATCAGAAGTCATGTAATTTAGAAAACTACAAGCTGTCGCAGAAAGGCAGGATTTTTGGCATTATGTCTGAGGCATAGGGCACTATGAGTTCTAAATGGAGTTTTTCAAGAGCATTAATAAGGAACAGGACTCAGAGATGACAATTAATAATAATATGAATAAATAAGTCAGTAATTGCCACATATTGAGTAACTACTGTGTGCTGAGGCACTTTGATTGACATTTTATTATATTAACTTATTTAACCCACTAAGAAGAGAATATTCCTAACTCCAACTTTTTAATTAGAAAACTGAAGCCCAGAGAATACAATGTGACTAAAGTTAATAACTAAAAGATCTGAAATTTGAACACAGAGCTTTAATAGCAAAGTCTTTCTGATAATTATGAGTATGAAAGAAATGCTGATTGAAGGGATGTAAAGAGGGAAGAATTCAGTTGTTTGTAAATAGGTTAATCATTGAATGATAAAGTCTCAGTCATCTGCACTTGGGAGACAGGCTACATATTATAAATGGAAAGAGGAACACAATTTATTTTTTTATTTTTTATTTTTTTAATTTAATTTAATTTAGTTTTTTTCCAGCATATCATGGGGATACAAATGTTAAGGTTACGTATGTTGCCCATGCCCCACTCTTGAGTCAGAGCTTCAAGCATGTCCATCCCCCAGTTGGTGCACATCGCATTCATTATATATATATATATATATATATATATACATATATATATATTTGTATATATACCTATCCCCTCCCCCGCCACCTGCCCGCCACCCGATAAATGTTATTCCTATATGTCCACTTAGGTGTTGATCAGTTAATACCAATTTGCTGGTGAGTACATGTGGTGCTTGTTTTTTCATTCTTGGGATAATTCACTTAATAGAATGGGTTCCAGCTCTATCCAGGAAAATACAAGAGGTGCTATATCACCATTGATTTTTATAGCTGAATAGTACTCCATGGTATACATATACCACATTTTATTAATCCATTCATGTATTGATGGGCACTTCAGTTGTTTCCACATCTTTGCAATTGTGAATTGTGCTGCTATAAACATTCGAGTGCAGGTGTCTTTTTCATAGAGTGACTTTTGTTCTTTTGAGTAGATGCCTAGTAATGAGATTGCTGGATCAAATGGTAGATCGACTTGTATCGCTTTAAGGTATCTCCATATTGCTTTCCACAGAGGCTGACCTAGTTTGCAGTCCCACCAGCAATGTAGGAGTGTTCCTATTTCTCCACATCCATGCCAACATTTGTTGTTTTGGGACTTGTTAATAAGGGCCATTCTTACTGGAGACAAGTGATCTCTCATTGTAGTTTTGATTTGCATTTCCCTGATGATTAGAGATGTTGAGCATTTTTTTATATGTCTGTTGGCCATTATTCTGTCTTCTTTTGAAAAGTTTCTGTTCATGTCCTTTGCCCACTTTTTGATAGGGTTCTTTGTTTTTTCTGTGCTGATTCCCTGAGTTCTAAATAGATTTTAGTTATCAGCCCTTTATCGGATGTGTAGCTTGAGAATATTTTCTGCCATTCTGTGGGTTGTCTGTTTGCTCTCTTGACAGTTTCTTCTGACAGCTGTACAGAAGCTTTTTAATTTGATCAGATCCCATTCATTTATTTTTGTTGCTGCTGTGATTGCCTTTGGGGTCTTCTTCATAAATTCTTTCCCTAGGCCAATGTCCAGAAGAGTATTTCCAATGTTTTCCTCTACAATTCTAATAGTTTCACACCTAAGATAGACTGATGTTGATATTGTATGCGACTTTGAACAATGTCAGTGAGGAACTCTCAAGGCATATTTATCATTTTTTACATGCTGACAATGCTTAGAGTATTGAGGACTTGCCAGTCTTAATCTCCTTCTACTCTGGTCATTGTTTTAAGCAACCTGAAATAGTTAGGATGTGTTAGCTGGGAGTTGCTAATATTTCCTTCAGTGCAGTGAAGCACATTTTTCTATAATTCTAGAGATCCTGGTTCCATCTAGTCTTGAGGATGGCCATCAAAGTACTATTTTTGTTGTGATGGTTCAAGATAAAGTTTTCCGTTTGCATTTTTACTATGTTCTCAAGTCTCACTTTGTTGGAGTAGGCACAGTCACATCTCAGGGCTTGTGCACCACTAATTGAGACATCTGGGAGGAAGAGTAGATGGCAAAGGATTACCTTTTGTTTAACACTTGCTATATTCTGGGCACACTATTAGATTCCTCACATACATTACTTCGTTTACTCCTCACACAAAAATCCTATGAAGTAGATATTGCTCTGATTTTTCAGGTAAAGAGACTGATATTTAGAGATTACTTGACAGTGGTCACACAGTTCTTAGGGATGGAAAAAAGATCATTGGTTGATATTTAGCTTATTTCTTTCAGTCTCTCATTATCTTCTAGAAGGGTTTTATTAGGTCAAGTATTATTTCACTCATCTCTCTCATCTTCTTTCCTTCTGTCCTTTTTTTCTCTCGGTTTCTCCCCTTCCTTCCTTTTTTCCTCCATCTTTTCTTTGTTGAGTAATCAGATGAAAGACTTTTGACAGATGCTTTTTGTATCCTTTCATTTTATAATATTTTCAGGCACCCTTTTCAAATGAATGAGCACTAAAATAGCAATTTGCACAAATGTCAGCTGACGCCATCTCTGTTTGCCATGACTTTTCCAAAAAAATTAAATTTGGTAAGTCTTTTCCCCCATTGTTTTGGCTTGAGTTTTATGGGTGCCATTTCAAATGATTTTACCCATTCCTCAACATGGCCTTGTCTCAGGCATATGTCTAGGGAGTTTGATGTTGGAGAAATATTGCTTATCAACAAGTCAGTAACTATCAGAGCTGTAGAGGATGCTTACATAACCTTTTTAGAAAAGGAGTCAGATTAGGAGAGATGAAGTCTGTTCCTTTATTCCTAAAACAGAGCCATTAATGATATTTACCCAATAAGTGATTAGGAGTATTAAATAAATTAATATTTGTAAAGTATTTAGAATTATGCCTAGCACATGAAAACATCATAGAGAGTTTTTAAAAATATATGTAATAACTTTTCTCATTTCATAGAATTGGAAAGGCGGCATTGATTTCTGAATAAACATACCTGGAGTCCAATCCTAGTTCACTTGTATCATTTTTGTCAGGTCACCTGACCTCTTAGAGGGACAGTTTACTCAATCTTGAAAACATGTGTGAAGATTTTGACTTTGTAGTGGTATTGTGAGGTTGTATGAGGTCACACAGGCAAAGTGTACAGTCCCTGACAGGCCCAGCATGTGAGACCTATCATTAGATCCAATGTCAGAAGCAGTGAACCTGAGCTCCTTGCCAACTTAATCCTTTTTATAAATCTTGAAACATTTACAGGATGGCAAAGAAAAGAGATTTCATATCTATAATATAACTAGTTCCTACAGGGTCTGGGGGTGGAATGTTGAATATAGCTTAATCCAACTCCAGAAAACCCATATAATTTGAAAAAGAAACATATTCCAGACACTTTCTTCCTGTTGGCATCATCATCACTTAGCACATTGTCATTATCTGAGCTTTATTAGTATTCTCCATAAATCATAAGGCTGGGTAAGCTGACTTCTATGTTTGCATTTGGAAGCAGATATTCTAAGCATGGTATTTCATTATCTCTTCCTGTTTTGATTCTTTTGCCTCATCCTGCTAGGTCAGGAGTCACTCAGAAGATCTCAACTCTCATTCTAATTCAGCTAGAACTAGCTGGATCACCTTGGGCTAGGCATCTCCAGTTTTCTTCAGCATTCAATGATCTCTACTCTCTTCATTTACCATTTGAAAAATATTTCTATTATTTGTTTATGTATTTGCTAACTTTTTATTTTAGAACAGTTTTTGACTTACAGAAAAATTGCAAAGATAGTACAGAAAGTTCCCAGGTACTTCTTACTAACCCCAGTTATTAACATTTTACATTTTTGTGGTTCATTTGTTACAATTAAAAAACCGATACTGACAAATTTTCATTCATTAAAGTCCACCTTTATTCCTATTTCCTTAGTTTTTAACATATGTCCTTTTTCTGTTCCAGCGTGTCGTTTAGGATTCCACACTACCCTCAGCTGTCAGGTCGTCTTAGACTCCTCTTGGCTGTGACAGTTTGTCACACTTTCCTTATTTTTGATGACCTTGACAGTTTTGAGGGATACTGGTCAGGTGTTTTGTAGCACGCCTCTCAACTGGGATTTGTTTGATGCTTTTCTCATAATTAGGCTGGGGTTATGGGTCTTTCGGGAGAAGACCACAGAGGTAAAGTGCCATACTCATCACATCGAATTAAGAATATGCACTATAAACGTGACATACCGCTCTTGATGGTAACCTTGATTATCTGGCTAAGGTAGTGCGTGTCAGGTTTATCCACTGTAAAATTGCTCTTTTTTGCTGCTTTCTCTACCGTGCCTCCTGGAAGAAAGTCATTATGTACAGCCCACACTTGAGGAGTGAAGAATTGTGCCCCACCCTCTTGAAGGTGGAATATCTACATAAATTACTTGGAAATTTTTTTGCATTGTAGATTTGCCTGCCCATGTGTATTTTTTTCTTTCCTCCTATCCTTTCTTTCTTTCATCGATATGAATTACTCATGGATACTGATTTTATGTATGAGTTATAATTTTACTAGTATGTTTCCTTTGTTGCTTAAATGATGCCGACCTTGGCCATTAGGAGTTCATTTAAATTTGGCTTCTGTGTTACTTGGACGTCATTGCTACTGTGATGCTGCCATTGGGGTGTCCTTTCTTCTGGGCAATGACTAAGCTGACAGAGTTGAGGAAATACTTATGTTTACTAACCAGTGTATATACACATATCTTTAAATATTTTTATATGTAAACATTCTTATCTATATTGAGCTAAACATGAGTTCATAGTGATGTCTCCAACCCTAACCTGTTACCAACTTGGATTATTCTAGACTCTTCTCCTTGCTTTTCACTAACCTCTCATTCCAACAGTGAAAAACCTTTTCTCCCACAGTTTGCCATCTGCTTCATTCATTATTAATTTCAGTATATATGAAAATGGTATCAGAATTGTTAACACCTAAGCCTATGGGAAAAAACTATTAATGTGAAGTTTCATTCACTTATGTGTAGTGTCATTTGGCAGCAGTCTTGTATTTATACCCAAGTATTTCTTTTTGTGTGTGTGCTATTGTGGTTAATATTTTTAAAATGCTTTTTTAAAAATAATTGTTTATTGCTGTTATATAGAAAACAAATTGGCTTTTCTATATTAACCTAGTATTCTGTGACATTGCTATAACTTAACTACTTTCAAAAGTTTTGTTTGCTTTTTGTTTGGGGTCAAATATTTTCCACATAGACAACTATGTTATTTGTGAATAAAAACAGTTTTATTTCTTCCTTTCCAATCGGAATATCATTTATTTCCTTTTCTCATTTTAAGGTATAATATCTAGTACAGTATTTAATAGAAGTGATGAGAGAAGGCTTTGTCTTGATCTTATGGGGATAGTATTTAGTTTCTTGTTATCATGTATGATGTTAGTTATACTTTTGTTTTTGGTTATTTTTGATAGATTTTTTTTATCAATCTAAGGAAGTTTCCTTCTATTCCCAGTTTGCTGAGAATTTTTGTCATGAATGGGCATTGGATGTTGTCAAAAGCTATTTCACTATCAATTGATATGATTGCATGATTTTTCTTCTTTAACATGTTGATGTGATGGATTACATTGATTTTCAAATGTTGAATCAGAATTGCTTACCTGGAATAAATCCCACTTGTCCATGATGTATAATTTTTTAATGTACTTTTTTGGGAATTCTGCCTGCCACCTATGTTTTCATTGCTCACCAATATAAACTCTGATCTGGTCATGCAACCCCACTGTTTAGCATATATGTCATTTTGTTCAACTGCTATCCCTTCCTGCAGATCTGCTTTAACTTGTCCTCTCTCTTCCATCCAGCCTTGTCTATTCCTTCTCAGTCTTCTCCCCTTTGGACTCTTTTAAGGACTTTTTATCCCTATGCAGCCCTTGAATTTGTACCACTCTGTAGATTTTCTATAAATGACACCTCTCTGTTGTTTGTTTATTTACTATCTCAATTTGTTACTGATAAGATTTGACATGTTCCTTGAATGCATTGAATTCAATGAGATAAAACAAAATTAAAGATAAGTCTAAGTGGATGAAGATAGTAGAACCAAGAAGAAATTAAGGTAGGAAAGATGAAGCCAGAGGAGAACTTATTGCAAAAGGTAGTGATAGAATTCTCTACTTTTAAATTTTTTAGTGTCTGGTACTTTGGTGTAATATTTTACAGTTTTCAAAGTACATTGCCACACCTTATTTTGTTGTTTAAAGGGAATAACTATAATGTCAATGTTTTGTATTATTATTATTTTTTGGCCAGGGTAGAAAGCCTGAATTTAAGTGATTGAGGTAATGAATAACAGAACAAAGAAAGGAATCCCAATGTGTAAAGTCCAAGGTCTTCTTATTCATACTCCATTTTATATAGGATTCCTTGTGGGGAATGGGCCATGTTTTGTTTCTCGTATTTTGCTCACTTGGTATTGGACATCTGTATGGCCAAGCATGTGTGCATTGATTTAAGTGGCATCTCATTTTAGCATTTAAGTCTGTAAACATTGTGACAAGGTGTGTTAATGAGAATTTAATGAAGCAGAATATGAAGGCTCAAACTTGTGTTTTGTTTCCCATAGCTTTGAAGAAGTAGCTGTTCATCCCTTGGGGATAGAAGACTAATTCACACATTTTTTAGATTGATCTTATTCTCATAAAAGACAAATGCTATCTCGTAATTCTTGGAACTAAAATGCTTTATGTGTCTTGGTTAACCATTAAACCTCCTTCTTAAAGAAAAAAATGTGGTGAAAGGTAAGTGGACAGAGGCCCCAGGGTTGAAAGTAATAGCTACTTTGCTTGGTCATTTAGGAGGAGATTAGGGAGGTTCCCTCAGATTGGGAGGAATGGTTGGACTTTCAGTTTATTTGTGTTAGTGGAAACCAGCCTTAATAGCACACAGGGAGAATCAGGGTCTTGAAAAGATAAGAGTTTAAGTTTAAGACTATTGCCTAGGAGCCATAGAGTGTCTATGTGAAGGGCCAGTGAGCCTGTGTCTTGTGCAAGTGAGGAGAACCAAAGTTGTTTGGCAGATTGAGTAATGATAATGATTACGAATGACCTGCAGAAAAGGACCATTGCTAATTTTGAGTAATCTTGAGAGCTTCTAACATGTTCCAGGGTCATACAAAGTGATCAATCAGCATATATAAGTGAGAGTTTGAATAGGACCTAACTGATTTGCAAATATATAAAACAACAGAATCTTTCTTGCACTTTGAGTGTCAAGGCTCAATCTATATCCATTATACTAGTTAAATGCCAAGTACCACTGCTATAAGAAATATACCATTGTCTCCTGAGTAGGCAATATGGCATAATTTTTCATACCTAGCTATCCCTTATAATAACCCAGAAAACTTGTTAAAAATACAAAATTATGGACTTCCTCCCAGATGCACTGAATCATAGTATTGGTGCTAAAACAAGACATGAGTGTCTGTAATTATTTTTCTGCCAGCCCTGCACTAATCTGTGGACTGCTCATTGACAGCTCCTGGTCAGAGAATAAAACATGGGCTTTTGGTTTAAATTGAAATGTGGCCACTAATTATGGACAAGTTACCTACACTTTATGAGCTACAGATTCTTTATCTGTACAATGAAGATAAAAACACCTACCTCTCATGTGTGTGGGGAGGTGAAGTGGGATACTATATTAACCTAGTAGACACTCAATAAACATTAATATAGTCTTTCACTCCTTTATTTTTCAGCTTGATTTCAGGACATCATTGGAATTTCTGGTTATTCCACCTCTTTAGTGTCTAATAGAAAAGCTCTCCTTCATTACAAACCTGCCCAAGGCTTCATCTGTAATTGTTCTAGATTCTGACTGGCAGGTCAGAACACTGAGAATGGCACTTTTGAAATGACTATGTGTCCTAATCTTTCCTTCACTAGAAGCCATCTTGGAGATAACACAACTGAAGATGATTAAAAGATTGCTTCTCTGAGCCTGGACCTTTTCTGACAGCTTTATATGAAAAAGCCTCCTTAGTGTTTTTCAGGAAAGATACTGTAGATGGATTAAG